GGAGATAAAGCATAATGAAAAGGTAATATATCTAGTAAATATTTAGAAGTTTGATGATATTAAATATTTCACCAAGATTAAAAAGGAAAATCTAGTAATATATATAACCATCAATTGGTTAATACATTTCATTATATACAAATCAATAAAAAAAACTGATAAACATATTACTGAGGAAAAAAGCATTTTATAAAGCCCTTATCAGGATGCATGAGAGCTAATGCATGGGGCACATATACCACAATGTTCAGAGCAGCACTTTCAACAATAGCCAAATCATGGATAGAGCCTAAACGTCCAACAACTGATGAATGGATCAAGAAGATGTGGTTTATCTATACAATGAAATACTACATGGCAATGAGAAGAACGAAATCTGGCCATTTGTAGAAACGTGGATGGAACTTGAGGCTGTTATGTTGAGTGATAGAAGTCAGGCAGAGAAGGGCAGATACCATATGTTTTTACTTATAAGTGGAACAGGAGAAACTTAACAGAGGACCATGGGGGAGGGGAAGGAGAAAAAATAGTTGAGGAGAGAGAGGGACGCAAAGCATGAGAGACTCTTGAATGCTGAGAACAAACTGAGGGCTAATGGGGGTGTGCAAGAGAGGAAAGGGGGTGATGGGCATGGAAGAGGGCACTTGTTGGGATGAGCACTGGGTGTTGTACGGAAATCAATTTGACAATAAATTATTGTCAAAAAGGAAAAAAGAAGAAATGCAGGAAAAAATAAATTATCAGGGAAGATTTCTATTTTTAGAAATCCTTTTCAGAGAGTGCTGGCTTTATGGAGGAGACAAGATTTGTTTCTAGCTTATTAAATCCCAGTGATTTTGTGAATGGCATTGTTTGGATTTGGAGTTTTTCTTGCTTTCTGCCTTTCTCCAGGAATCCTGTGAGCTCAGTTATGTATTTAACATTTTATTTAAATAAAATTCAATCCAAGATTTTTAGTTATTAGGTATTAGGGGTCTCTTGGTTGTGTGTGGTCTGCTGTGTTACCAGAAATGGAAGTACTTTCTTTTTTTAGTTGGGTAAATTTCACATAAAACATTTTGTAAGTTTAAGGTATATAGCCATGTTGCTTTGATTAGATATATATATAGTAATATGGTTGCCATTGTAGCAATATGCATCAAATACCATACTTACAATACAATATGATTATCTGTACTATACTGTATTGTCTGTGATAGACTGTACATTAGATCTCTGTGGCTTATTTACTGTTATTATAAGTTTGTACTCTTGGGGAGCCTGGGTGGCTCAGTTGGCTAACTGTCTGACTCCATATTTCAGCTCAGGTCATGATCTCATGATTCAGGAGTTCAAGCCCCAATCAAGATGATTCTGTCAGCGCAAAGCCTGGTTGGGATTCTCTCTTTCCCTCTCTCTGCCTCCCTTTCTCAAAAATAACTTTAAAAAAAAAAGGATGGCAAAAGAGAATATGGAAAGACTGCTTTCTCCAGTCATATTTAGCTGCTAAGGTAGGGGCAGAAAGTAGTAGACATAATTGTATTTAACCAACACTTGAGTTTTAGCCAACAGATTATGTCAAAGTAAAGTGAGAGAAGGGAAGGCAAGGAAATGATTATAATGACTGAATGTGGAATTTAAGCTGAGAGGAGAGAAACTGGAGACACGTAAGTAGATAGGCCACTGTATTATTTCACATGAGTACTTGAATTAGGACAGTTTAGTAGGAATGAAAAGAGACTGGTACTATCCCCTGGAGATATAAGTGACAGGATGTGGCAAAGAATTAGCAATAGGAAAAGAAGCTCTTTGAGCCAAAAAGGATGCAGGTATTTCTAGCCAATGACACTTAGGATACAAAGCAATAATTATCATTAAATGAGCAAAGAAACAAAGAAGATTGGTAAGTGACAGATAATGAGCTCCAAGAAAGGTAAGACAATGAGAAGCAAAGGAAAAAGGAAAAGATATAAAAAGAAACACAGAGCAAGAGAAAATACAATTATTACACTATAGAAGACGCATTTTCATTATTAAAGATAGGTAAACTACTATGTACAATTTTATTTAGTCAATTCCTGAGCTAAAAGTTTCAACCATTTTCAAAAGAGAAAGTCTTCCCATCTACTTCCATTGTTACACATTAAAAAGAAAAATGTCCAAACAAGTTAAGTGGCTGCCTAAAGCCACCAACTTATCAGTGGCAGGGCCTAGTTTAGAATCCAAGGTTATGAGTCTCTACCTACTGTCCAGAATTACCTTAAAGGGAGTTCTTACATAAACCAATTATCTTCCTTATGGTCAAAAATGTAGGCATGACAGGGGTGTATGGCTGCCTGTCAGGGCCATAAGGAGTTCAAGTCAACATTGGGCATAGTATTTAAAAAAAAAAAAAAAAAAAGAGGGGTACCTGGGTGGCTCAGTTGGTTAAGCATCCACTCAACTTCAGCTTCAGGTCATGATGTCACAGTTTCAGAGTTCGAGCCCCGTGTTGGGCTCTGTGCTGACAGCTCAGAGCCTGGAGCCTGTTTCGAATGCTGTGTCTCCCTCTCTCTCTACTCCTTCCCTACTCACGCTCTCGCTCTCTCGCTCTCTCAAAAATAAACAAACATTAAAAAAATAAATAAATTCTAGTTAGTTACCATAAGAAGTATTTCTTTTCTTTTTTTTCTTTTCTTTTTTTTTTTTGATAGAGAGAAAGCACAAGTATGGGAGAGGAAGGGAGGGAGACAGAGGGAGAGAGGGTGGGAAAGAATCTCAAGCAGGCTCCAGGCCCAGCAGTGAGCCCAACACAGGGCTGATCCCACAACCCTGGGCTCATGATTTGAGCCTAAATCAAGAGTCAGATGTTCAACCCACTGAGCCACCCAGGTAACCCTGAGAAGTGTTTCATTTTAAACAGGCTTGTACTTTAAATAGGCAGTACTGCCTAGCTATAACTAAGACTATTCTAAGAAAACCTTTCCTTTACTATAAAAACTCTACACTTCAAACTATAATTTATACTTTTGTGTTTTATTTTTCCTGGATAGATTTTCTTTGTTGTCATTGTTTTAAATTCCAATTAGGTGAGAAATTTTTCAGAGATCAGTACTGTACCTTCTATGCTTAAGCATCTATCTCTCAGGAAAGAACCAGCAAAATGGAAAAGGCAAATGCTTTACAAAAAACAGGTAAGTTGGTTAAACCCATTCTGCCACTATCTGGATGACCTGCATCTCACATTCCTAATCAGTAAAATTGAAATTTAAAATAGCCATTTTGAATGTTATAAGAATTAAGGAATAAAGGTCAAGCATATGGCAAAAGTAGACAACTTGGTAAATAGTACTAATACCACCGATATGAATAATCTGAAGCTGCAACTTTTAAAAAGCTTAATATACTTCTCGCTAGCACAATCTTCAAAATTGAATGAAAACCTCTTTTCATTCGTTACCAGCATATTTTAACAAGTCTTGTTCCCATCTCCACCCCATAGAAATCTTATTAAAAAGACTACATATTGGGGGCGCCTGGGTGGCTCAGCTGGTTAAGCGTCCAACTTAGGCTCAGGTCATGATCTCGCAGTTCGTGGGTTCAAGCCCTGCGTCGGGCTCTGTGCTGACAGCTCAGGGCCTGGAGCCTGTTCGAGATTCTGTGTCTCCCTCTCTCTGACCTTCCCCTGCTCATGCTGTCATTCTCTCTCTCTCAGAAATTTAAAAAAAAAAAAAGACTACATATAGTGGAATAAAATATAACAACTCGTGTTTTTCTCCCTTTCAACTACAACCAAATGCACTCTCATACATCCATTCACAGCACTAATTTACTATAGGGTTGAATCATTTTAAATCGCGATTTTTACATGTCAAAATGGTCAACTGATTGGCTATCTCAAATGGTTCAAACTGAAATTTACTTGCCCAGGGAACACTTTTGTAATCCTGAGCTTGACTGCAGTTGCTACACATAAGCAATGTCTGTTAAATGAGAGCTTTGAGGTGAAACATGGAAGTTCATTCTTACTTTAATGCTTTTACTTTGTACAAAGTTCTTCCTAGAACTAAACTGTTAATATAATACATCTTGAATATTTTTTTTTAATTTTTCAATGTTTATTCGTTTTTGAGAGAGAGACAGAACACAAGCAGGGGAGGGGCAGAGAGAAAGGGAGACACAGAATCCAAAGCAGGTTATGAGCTGTCAGCAAAGGGCTCAGTACACAGGGCTCGAACTCAGATTGTGAGATCATGAACTGAACCAAAGTTGGACGCTTAACAAACTGAGCCACCCAAGCACCCCAATCTTGAATATATTTCTAAGTAAAACCTACAATATCTTCTGGAATTATTTTGCAGACTGGAAACACACATCAGGAAGAGATGATGAAGTGAAAATCATTATAGTGATATGTAAATCCAAGCATACAGCTGAAGAACTTCAGTATCTTCAACTGGAGGACTCACATTTCAAAAGCCAATGGTATTTAAAACAAGAGACCTCTTGAGTGTGAGAATTAAACTGAAGACTCAAAATAAAGAAAACAAATTATCTGCCAGAGAAATTGTGGGGAAGAATTCTCAACAAAACCTACCTTAACAGTTCTCAAAGCTGGTTAGAATAAAATCACCCCAACAGCTACAACAAAAAACACAGTGGCCTGTGAGAGTGTAGGGCCCTAATGAAAAGTGTAATAAACCTCTCCGGGTGCTTCTTACATGCATCCAGGGTAGAGAACCCTTGTTTATTAAGGATTTTTTTTCATATCCCTACATAAATCAAGACTAAATTTTGAGAAGAGCATGTTCGTAAGCCAGGTCAAGTTCCAGATAATTCTACCATCTACCAGAGAAACTAGGACCATTACTGATATTTCTTCCTATTCAGAAAAATTTTTAACTTTCTAAATTATAAAAAAAAAACACTAACAGCTTATTTTATACAAGTGTAACCAATCAACTAGACATCATAATTGAAACATAATTCCTACTTAATTTCAATTTTAACATTTAAAAGTAGTCCAATTAAGACAGTCTTACTGTTCTAGAATCCGAGAATGGATTATATTCATCAAGTCCTGGTGGAACATTTCTTGTCACTTGTGTAACTGATGGGTCCTGGAATAAAATTCAAAGGAGAATTAAAGATTACTGATCCTTTAAGGCACAATTTTGATATTTACAAAGCATTTGCTCCATCTGTATTTCTGGTCACCCAGCAAAACTAACAGGAAAATAAAAAGATTATCACATTTACTCAGTCCCATTCCAACAAGGTTGAAATTTATACCCTCAGCCCTCACACTCTCAGTGAAAAAACTGGGTTAGATGCAAATCAGGTGCTGGCGGTTATATAAAGAATGAAAATAGCTCTGTGGAAGTGACTGTACAAGAGCACCTTGGCACATCTGGGGCAAACACACCATCCTTTCCTTTGGGTTCCACAGTTCTCCCCCCCCTTTTTATTTTTTCTTACAGTATTTTATATCAGTTTTCCCTACTGCAGATAGAAATACCACACTACAAGTCAATGCCATGTACGGGCAACATTCAAGATTAGGCACATTTGGGGTACCTGGGTGGTTCAGTCGGTTACATGACCAACTTTGGCTCAGGTCATGACCTCATGGTTTTTGAGTTCGAGCCCTGCATCAGGCTCCGTGCTTGCAGCTCAGAGCCTGGAGCCTACTTTGGATTCTGTGTCTCCTTCCCCAACTTGTGCTCGGTCTCTCAAAAAGAAATAAATGTAAAGATTAGGCACCATTTACTTGTTTTATTCTGCTCCAATATTTTCTCTTGACTATAGTTTACTTTGTCATGTTTCTCCTTTTCCAAGTATAATACATTACCACACTAACCCAACTTTTCAAGTCTTTTCATATTAGACTCCCAAATAAGTAAGTCCCAAAATCTTGGTTAATCTACTTCTCTTGTGAATTTAAGAAACAAACATAACACACATCAACAAAAACCAATGACATAATTAATGTGAAAAGCATTTGCAAACCGTAATACAGCCTCATTGACCTTTACATCCCTAATTCCAAACTTTGGCATGCATCAGAATCAAAACAGATTGCTGCAACCCACCTCTAGAGTTCTAGGAAGGGGCCTGGGTATCTATATTTCTGTTTTTTTTTTTTTTAATGTTTTATTCATTTCTAGGAGAGAGAGAGACAGCATGAGCAGGGGAGGGTCAGAGAGAGAGGGAGTCACAGACTGAAACAGGCTCCAGGCTCTGAGCTGGCAGCCAGCACAGAGCCTGACACGGGGCTCGAACCCACGAACCGCAAGATCATGACCTAAGCGAAACTCGGACGCTTAACCAACTAAGCCACCCAGGCGTCCCTGGGTATCTATATTTCTAACAAGTTCCCAGGTGATGCTACTGCTGCTGGCTGGGGAACCGTTGCTCTCTCCTCTATGATGTACTTTCTCCAGTCCATCTTTTCTCAAGATAGTCATCAAAATTACCTCTCAAAAATGAAAAACTTATCATGTCATTCCCCTCCTCTATTCCTAACCCATTTCAGATTCTTTAGAGGCTCTCCACCAAGACAAAATACAAATTCCTCAAAATGAGATAAAAGACTTCTGACCATCTAGCCTAGTTCTGACCTACCTTTCCAGACTCAATTCTCTCTGAAGGACCTTCCTCTTGCCAGATCCTTCACTCCCCACCAAATCAAACAACATATTGCAAAGGAGCCTTGAACTTGGCACAAAGCAAATGGTAAGGAGAAATTGAAAGTATGGCACAGATAAAAAGTTAAAACTTTATGCTCACTTAACAATAAAAAATGAAGGAAGGGATGAAATCACTCTACTTCCCAGGGTTTACTCAAGTTTACTCAAAAATGTGAGGAGCAGAAAGATTATACAGAAAGAGTATGTGCCTCAGAGAGAAAATTTTTAAAAAGGAAACATGAATATTTTAATCAAATTTTTCAAGTTGGCACTGCTATGGTTATCTTAATTTAGAACTGGGTTTAGGGGGCTGCCTGGTTGTTTCAGTCAGTGCAGCATGCAATTTTTGATCTCAGTGTTCTGAGTCTGAGCCCCAGGTTGGGTGCAGGGAGTACTTAAAAAAGTAAAAAAAAAAAATTTTATAAAATGTGTTTAGGGTCAACAAGTGGAGACTTAGCAAATCCTGATGATGAAGATGCAGTCTTGATGCCATTCCCCTCATCCCTACCCCACAAAACCAGGTGACCTAGGAGTCCTCCACACCATACTCTTCCTTGGCATTGCTTCCTGTGACTGGAATACTCTTCAAGGTTGCATCAACCTGCCAATCTCCTCTTTCTTAAAGACTCAATCGAAAGAACACTTCACATGCTAACAAAATCCCTGATACCCAAGTCAGTATAACATAGGCTTAATGCTTCCTCAGAGCTTGGTATTCATTTCCATCAACATTTATTTTACCGAATCATGATGATCTTCATATAACTAACTTTTCCCAAATTAGACTGTCACTTCTTTCATACAAAAAAAAAAAAAAAAACCGTAAACAGATTTTTTTATTTAATCATACATGCCTGGTAATAAATACTGTTTGAGTTATTATCACCCCACCAAAGAGAAAAAAATCTAAAGAGCAATTCTTTAGGATAGAAGCAAGAGTAATAACCAAGAAACACTTCCTGGGAAAAAATGTGCACAAATATGAAGCTGAGTCAAAAATTTAAGTGAAAAGATGTTTGATCTCACCCTTAAGAAAAAATATTAAAACTACCCTGACGTATTCATTTCCCACCTATCAGAGTAGCAAAAATCTACAAGTCTGACATACTCTAATGACAAAGATGTAGGGAAATAAGAATTCTCATATATTACTAATGGGTACAGAAATTGTTACAACCTCTAATGGAAAGACAGTTGGCAATAGCTAGCAAAATTACATCTACATTTATACTCTGACCCATGATCTCACTTCTAGGAATTTATTCCAAAGGGCAAAATACTATTTGTAATAGCAAAAGACTAGAAGCAACCTAAATGTCTATCAATAGAAGAGAGTTGAGTAACTATGCTAGGTGGACATGATAAAGAACTATGCAATTAAGTATTACACAGTTGTATAATGGTATAAGGAAATCTATACACTACTACGGAATGAATGAAACAGTGCAAAACAATATAACTAAAATGTTACTCTTTTTCAAAGAAAAAAATTAACCTGTATAACTAAGATGTTACCTCTTATTTAAAGAAAAAAATTAATGTGTATGTGTTTACTTAAATTTTTAACAAGATGAAAAAACCAGGACAACTGGCTGGCTCAGTGAGAAGAGCATGTAACTCTTGATCTCAGTGTTGTGAGTATGAAAACCATGTTGGGTGGCTGGAGATTACTTAAACTTTTTTTAAAATAAAAAATAAGTAAATAAATTTTTTAATGTTTATTTTTATTTTTGAGAGAGAGAATGCAAATAGGGGAGGAGCAGAGAGGGAGACAGAGGTTCCAAAGCAGCCTCTGTGCTGACAGCAGTCAGCCTGATGTGGAGCTCAAACACACGAATAGGGAAATCATGACCTAAGCCAAAGTCAGACCTTCAACTGACTGAACCACCCAGGTGCCCCAGTCAATAAAATTTTTTAATAAGATAAAGAAGCCAAACACTACTAACATGAATAATTACCTATGGGCAGATGAAGAAAACAGTGATAAGAGAGGATAGGCTTGGATGCCAGACTTTGCTCAATGTATCTCGTTATACAGTTTTTACTTTGGAACCAGAAAAATATTACATAATTTAAAAAAAAAAAAAAACAGGGGAAGTAAAATGTAGAGTCAGAAAGTCCCAACTTTCATTTTCTAAATACACATAGCCAATTATCAAATGCCTTAAAGTGCACAAATCCTGCATAAGGTATAACTTAGCTCCAAAGTGACACAGAATGAAATCAATCATTCTTCCAATTTTCTACTTTTAACTACAATAACGAAAATGTACTTGGTGTCCTTCTACATTCTAGAAGACTTTAATCCAGGCTGAGTTAACTGGCATTTTAACAAAATCATTGTGTCAAGTTAACTGAGTTCATTTCAGTTTGTCTGGAATTTCTCCTTAACGTAGTATTAGATGACAAAGCAGCCGCTCATGTACCAGATTTGCCAAGATTTAGGAAGATAAAGAACTGCTACCTCTGAATTCTTACCTAATTAACCTTTCAAATTAGTTTTAATAAATGTAGATAATGTTAAGGAAACTGCAGCCTCTAAACTAGAAAAAAAAAAAACCCACAAAGCTGAAGGTGTAATAATCAATAATCTTTTAAAGCCTCTAAATGTCTAGCACTTACACTACTTCCAATCCTTCTTATGATCCACCCTGATGGATGGTATTATTTTTTTTCTCAGAGAAAGAAGCTATGACTTTGAAAAGGGTCAAAAAAACTTCCTGAAGGATAATGAGGGTAGATCGGAAACAAAATATGAATCCCCGACTTTCCACTGCCTGTATATACACTCTTTCCAATAGATATACTAAAAACAAAATTTACCACAGCCTCAACTTTATAAAAAAAAAAAAAGACACCGGTTGAGTTGATTGTTTATTAATGATTCAAAACCTTTGGCAGGAAAATGTGCTTGTTTTTCAACACAACAAAATGAAACTGTTTCAAGTGCTAACTTGCTTGCCTCTACCACAGTGGTTGTCAAACTCAGCACACACTGAAATCACCTGAAGGGCTTAATAAAACCCAGATTACTCAACCCCATTCAAAAATGTACCTTGATATATGAGACGTTGCCTGAGAATTTGCATTTTTAGCAAGGAAAACAATCTGAGATAGTCTCATTTTACTGACTTAAAAGAATATACTAGTCTTCTGTATTTTATTAACTCTCAAAAAGTGTGGACATTCTTTAGAACTTAAATATCCTATTTGGATCTGACTATCCATAAATATTAAAGTTACGTATTTATTTAGTTAAGCCAAGGCTATTCTACTAAACCTTTCTATAACTTCATAGTTATATGTCATTAAAACCTAAGATACATTATAAAAATGTTTTTCCAAGAGAATAACTAAGATTTCACAACTAACATAATTAACTTTTTTATATCTTTAATTCAGGTTTCTTTACCAAATCCTCTAGGGTAGTG